TAATAATATATATATATATATATATATATATATATATATATATATATATTTGTTCAAAATAGTTGCGCTCTTTTCTGAAAAAAGTGTCACTTAAAATATTGTAATTTTTCATGAAAAGATATGTCTATTATAATAAAAGTATTTGCATAGACATGAATATTAGTGAATAGTCATTTGCTATGCTTTTGAAGAAGAAATATTTGGACTGTATTGCCTACATGGTTGGACCCAACCTTTCCTAAATCAACTAACTCCCTAAGTTAGTTGTCTTGGATATAGCAAGGGTTCCGAGGTCTTGTTCTACGCGCATCAATCTGTGTGAACCCGGTCCAATCATTGACATTCTAGACACATTAAGCATTACTTAGCATATCCATTTTTAGGGTTATTACATTATGACTGTGGACTGTAAAATTATACTTGAATAGTCTAGTGAAGGGTCTAAAAGACTTTGGTAAGGAAAAATGATAATGTACTTAATAAAGTGATTCACAGGGCATTTACTCCCTTCGAATATGATTTTATAACATTTTGTGTATCTTTTGTAGACTCATCCTTTTAAAAGATGGTGTCAATAGTGAAAAAGATTCAAAGTGAATCTTCAGAAGGAAAATAAAATTTGATGGAATTGTTGACGAAAAAAAGTAAGACTTTGTGTTAAAGGCTTTAGACAAAACAAGGTTTTGATCTTGTCGATATATATACTCATTATTAACTAGAATTACATCCATTCGGATGCTAATATTATTAGTTGTGGTATATGATCTCCAAATTCATTAAATAAATGTGAAAACAACTCTCTTAAATGGAGAATTGGAGGAAGAAATTTACATGGAACAATCCGAATATTTTGTGGTTCCTGGTAAATAAAAGAAAGTGTGCGAACTTGTTAAGTGACATTATGAAATAAAATAAGCACCCAAACAATGACATAAAAAAATTGACCAAACCATGTTTGCAAATGGATTTAAGAATGGCGGAAGTGATAAATGTGTTCACATTAAAATCACAAAGTCATTATTTGTTTGTATATTGGTGATATGTTGATCATCAATAGAGACACTAACGACATAAATGCTACTAAATCTATGCTAGAAATCAAGTTTGGAATGAAAAATCTTGGAGTTGCTAATGCGATCTTAGGTATAAGAATCCTTAGAACTCCATAATGTTTAGAATTTTCACGATCTCATTGCATTGAAATGGTACTTGACTAGTTCAAATATTTGGATGTCAATATTGTCAAGTCTCTAATAAATGTGAGCTTTGCATTTCAAAAAAGTGAAATAAAAAGTGAATCACAATTGGATTGTACTAGAGTATTGGGAAGTATGATGTATATCATGAAGTGTGCGCTATCAGATATAGATTTGCTATTAATAAACTGAGTCGGTTCACAAGTGATCCCAATCAAACTCATTAGATGAAAATAAATATATTTTTGGAGTATTTAGAAAATACTTAATATTATGTCTTGCATTATAACAATATCCAGCAGTATTGAAAGGATATACAGATGCAAATTTGATCACCGGACAAATGAAGTAAAATCCACAAAAATATATATATTTAACCTTGGTAGAGGATTAGTCTCTTGAAAATATTTCAAAATAGACATGTATCGCTAGCTCTACAATAATATTTGAGCTAGGTGCTCAAGATAAGGCAGTTAATAAGTTGAAAGACTCCGAGATCTCTTGATAGATATTCTTTTTTGGCCAAAACCAATGGCATTAGTATGCATACACTTTGATAGTCAAGATGCAATAGGTAGTACATGAAGCATGATGTGTAACGAAAAGTCTTGTCAAATAGGACATAAACATGATACTGTTAGAAAACTACTCTCTAGTGAAATTATCATTGTAAGACCCCGAAAATGACTTAGGTAAAGCTAGAGCCTAACATGGTTGTAGTAGTGGTATAAGTTCATAAAATGGTTTATAATGTGAGTTTGAGGCAGTGTTTAAGAGTTTAGGTGCACTGGAAGTCAAACGACAAGGGACGACCAAGACGTTCGCCGACTAAGTCACCTATGTGCCTCATATGTGGTTTTATGTGTTTATGAGTAATTCATGAGGTTATAAAGTCCTTAAATGAGTTATTGTAGTATATATAGGCTGTGTTTCAATTTTGTTGAAGTTTGGAGGTCAAACGTCCACGACGTTAGAAATGCTTGCCTT